GCCTGGCGGTCGGTCCAGATGGAGAGATGTCTTGGCTTCAATCCCTGGGTGGACCTTGGGGAGCTGGGGGGTGGGGTGGGGGCTGTTGGGTCAGTGGGGGAGCTGACTCCCTGTAGGAGCATTTGCTCTCTCAGTTATTTCTCCCCATCCCTCACCATGCACCTCCACCCTCTTCATTTCAATTCCATACATTTAGAGTTGTTTGGGCTCGGGTGTGCTGCAACAATTTTACATCTTTGTTGACCATAGCCACCTGGGACTCAATTTTATTGTACACCTTAGACATTCATTCATAACATCCTCATGACATTCACATATAGGAACTTGAGGTGGGCACATGGCTATGGGTGGTGGGATGACCTTACTCTCACCCCCTATGCCTGTGCTCACTTATAATGGTTGCATTTAGACACTAGGGTTTGGATAGAGTTGGGGTGGAGGGTAAACTGGCATCATGCCAGCCTTTGCTCCTTCTTCTTTCCTTTTTAATGGCACTATACAACAACACACATCAACAGCACATCTAGGGGCGGGGGTGTATGTGTCGGGGTCTTATTTTTTTTAATTTTTTTATTTTTTTAATTTTATTATTTTTTCCTACCCCCCTAGTTCCCTGACTGCCATTCCGGGGGTGGGGTCCGGGAGAAGGGCAGGCCGTCGGGTGTTGACCAGGACTATGTGGGGGTTCAGGGTCTAGGGGGTTGCCGTGGGCGGTGCTGGTGCTGTGCTCTCCCTGGGGTTGTTTGGACCCCCTGAGCTTGGCTCTTGGGTGCCATGGTTGGCCCGCTGGCCGGGGTGGCTGCCGGGGCCTGGCGGACGGTCGGCTGGGGGCGCGTGCTTGGTTGTTGGCGGTGTGTGGGGGGGGGTCGGTGGCGTGTCCTCTTCATGGTGGGGGGGGTGTCCTGTCGGCGGGGCATGGCCTGGGCCAGGTCTGGGGTATTGGCTCTTCTCTGCTCGAGAATGAATGGGTTTACCTCCTGGGTTTGGGCATGGGCTGCCCCCTGTAGAGGGCGGGTACATGTCTTGGACCTGGGGGGTATAGAGTGCGTATCAGGAATAAGAATGAAAAGTATCGTTATTGTATGTCTTTGAGTGAGTGAATGTGAGACTGAGGTTGGGATTGTGTGATTGTGTCTGTATATGAATGGGTATTTGTTAGGCCGAGACTCGGACTGCCCCCTCTTTGATACAACTGGGGGTGCTTGGCATCGCGCCCCTATCGCACGGCCCCCTGGTGGGGTGTGCCCTTGCCTGCCGGCGCGCTTGGGGCCCTTGGTGTCGGGGGCTGGGCGCTTGGGCTTGTGTCGGCTCGGCCTGGTGTCTGCCTGGTGGGGCTCGGGTCCTCTGGCCCTGTCGGCCCTTGGCCTGGGTGGTGTGAGTCCTCGGTGCCCGGGCCTCGGTGCCCGGACCTGGACCTACATCGGTGCGGCGTTTCCGACGGAGGCCTATGAGTTTGTCGCTGTTGGCCCCGGGGGGTCACTGTATGTGGTCGCTGGTGGGGATCTTCCGGTTCTCCCCAGTGGTCCGTTCTGGGGGGTGGGTGAGTGGTTCGTCCTGTGTGGGTGGCTCTGGGGGCTCCGCGGTCGGGGTCCCTCCTGGGGTCTTGGGCTCTGGTCCCCCCTTTTTCGTCTGCCTCTGGTCTTGGGGGTCGGGTCTCTGCTGCTTCACAGTTACTATTAAATGTTCTATTAGAGAAGCCTTATACACTTATGCATGCTCACAACCACACACAAATAGAAGCAGGGATGCATATGTAGGCTTTATATGTAGATATGTATATTCATGTATATTCATGTGTATGTATGTATGTATATAGGCGTAGGTATGGGTATATATATTTATGGAAACTTACTGCAAAGCCATGAATATTTTAAGTTCTTTATACGTATGTATTTTGTTGCTGTGTTTTGTCATGTTCTTTGCAGATGACCAGACAGTGGCCGGGTGTTTTGCCGTGTGCTCTCTTTGTGTATATTTCTTATATTTTGGAGTCTTACTTTGTCTTTTCTTTCTTTCTATCCTATTAAAAAAAAAAAATCCTACACTAGATAGTCACTAGATTAAATATTTCATAATAATGGTGTGGAGGGGATGGCTGTAAGGGGAGAAGGGAGGCCATCTAAAAAATAAAAAAAAAAGAAGGACCATCAGCCTAACAATGGATCTTTAACACCCTGATGGCTGTTTACTATTCACAGGGGGTTGAGTGATACTAGCAATAACAGCATTGTAAGAGGGGGACAGTTGAACCTGGAGGCTCCACCCCTGTTTAATGATGGACGGTGTCTTTTCACGAAGATGGCCTCCTTTACTCCTCTCAAACCATCGTTCCTCTCTGTCCAGGGTGTGAACATCTTCATCCCTGGTCTACACTCATCTCCAGGTCAGAGGTCACTCTTTCAGGGAAAAAGAGGGAAAAAAAATCTGATCGGTAAAATAAAACCCTCCACTCTGGAGATGAAGGCAAAGGTGGAGACGGGTGCCTTCAGTTTGCCGGGCCCAGCTGCAGCCTTGTTCCAGTGTGACGTCACAGCTAGACAGCGGGGCCAGATGGGGTCAGGGCGATGAGCCGGAGCAGAGCCAAACCTTCCCACCAGATCATTCGATCGGGGCGGAGGGAGGCGAGGGACGGAAAGTCCCTTTGTGTCAGCAGCCTCCTGGATTATGTCGAGCAGCTCCAAAAGGAGGGCGCCGACAGCTGGGAGCGGCCGGCCCCTCTTCTTCCGTCACTACGCTCTCCAGGAGGGAAGGGGCAGCGAGGCTGTTTCCAGCATCGCCTTTCTCGGAGGAATCATTCGATTCATTGTGCGACTCTGCGTCAAAGAAAGGCGGTGGCATCGTCCCACGCATAGCGTCCCGCCACAGAAAAACATTCACTGGAGCTGCTGCCCGCATCGCCTTTTTCAAGGGAATCATCCGATTCACCGCGCGGAAACAACGTTAGAAAAGGTGATGGCGTCATCCAGCGAGTAGTGGCTCGCTACTGAGAAACACTCCTCGGCACTTACCTTGAGCAAGGCTGATTGTCTCTGCTTCTCCTCGGGGGGGGGGGGGGGGGGGGGAATAGCTCACAGGGACGGCAGTAGGTTGGCGTGGTGGAGACCCAGGCATCCTTCGCAAAAGTTGTGCCGGTCAAAGCTGGACATCTTTTCCTTCTTCGTTCTTCTTACAGTGCTAGCTAGCAGGCTGAAGAAAAAATGGGAGCCAGTTGCCCGGTCTCACCATAATTTATACGGACTGGGGGTGGAGCCCACACAGCCGGTGGGCGTGGACTAAAGTTTTCAGTGCTGCACTGCGCACGAAGGGATAAACCCACTAGCGATAGCCTTAAAGGGCGAAGTCTATACGAAATAGAACCCACGCATGCACGGAGAGAACATGCAAACTCCACCCTGAGGGTTCCCCGGACCGGGATTTGAATCAGGGACCTGCTCACTGAGAGGCAGCAGCTCTACCAGTTGCACCACCATGCTGCCCCAGGTGCAACAATAACCATTAAACAATTAATAAACATTAGCATAAAATGAAATAGTATGATACTATCCTAAATTGTATAGCGGTATAAATATAAAAAGTATAATATATTTCACATTTTGAATGGAATTACTGAAATAAATCACAATGTTGACGATATTCTAATTTTATGACCAGCACCTGTATGTGAATGTTTCTGTTCAGTGACCTGTTGTGACTTGGAGCTGTAGAAATAAACTGAATTGAAATGTGTCCATTAAACAACAAACAGCAGTTTCCGCCTCCTGCCGGTCAGTGCACGAACTGCAGCTACTTCGCTCACGCGCATGAGTTGGTAAACTGTGCGAAAGATCAAAGTTATACCGCGTTATTACTGAAGCTGCTCTGATGTCACATCGGACGGGCCGGTTCTGAAGTTGGATTTAGGTTCTCACCTGCAGAACTTTAGTCCCGGACGCCCTCACACGCTGTTTACTGACAAACATGGCGGCCGCCATCTTGTTTTAATGTTGATGACGTCGGACTGGACCGAATCACAATGGTCGGGGGAACGATAGTTAGCATTGAAGGAATGCATATCGCCCGCCGCCGTTCCCGTCAAGTCGTTCGATTCAAACATCCGGTGAAGAAGTTTCAGTCAAACAAAACTTCCTGATCCGTTCGAGCTCAGTCCGGGTGACCCCCCCCCCCCCCCAACAGTGGTTCAGTCCTGTTCCGGCTACGTCACTCGGGACAGTAAATACGCCGTTCTGGTCTCAGTATCCGAACCGAGTTGTACCGCCCCTGGGCCTCGAGTCCCGCTGGTATCGATTAAGGACACTTCCGGTCACGGCTGAACTACGGACTCTTACTGCACGAGGACAGGTACGGTACCGGGTCCAGAGGAGGAACGAGCGGCTCGGTACCTATGACAAATGGAAGACCGAGTACCTGGACCCAAACTGGTTCTGGTCTTTAGCGGGAAGCGGAAATCCGGAAAAGATTATGTGACAGATGTGATTCAGAACCGGTAAGGTCCGCAGGTGGAGTCCGGTAGAAGAGCTCGGTTCTGAATGGGCCGGTCCACAAAGGTTCTCTACTAAGATATGAGCATTGCTTTGATAAGACGCAGTGTTCATTCATTCATTCATGGATTCACTTCATTCCAGCTTGATGTCCAGCTGTGCGCGAGACAAATGATGACATCATGACTCTCCAACATGTTGCACTGCTGGCAGGGACCAACAGACATGTCCCTGTTTTTAGTTTTATACATTCGCCTTAGAATCCAGATGTTTTTTTGTTACCTTTTTCTTTTAGCCATCCTATTTGTTAAAAAAACTGCAGTATGACTTTTTATAATTGTTTGTTGTTGTTGCTGTTGTCCATTGTTGTCATCTTTCTTTGTAGAAATCAGGTCTCTCTTGTAAATGAGTCCTCGAGGCTCAATGGGATTTACCTGTAGAAATAAAGGTTGAATGAATGAATGATTGAATGAATGAATGAATGAAAAAACGTAGAAAATGTTCTGCGTGCAGAGCGGAGAAATGGGCGTGGTCAAGAAGGCTTGCAGGTGGCTGAGAGCAGGAGAGGTAGAGAGAAGTCATGACATTCTGTCTCTTTTGGACTTTACAAACATTGTTTAGAATATTGCAAGAGTGTGGAAAAGGTTTAAAATACCTTAATATACATATATACATATATATGTATATACACATATACATATATGTATATGTGTATATACATATATATGTATATACACATATACATATATATGTATATATATATATATGTATATACACACATACATATATATGTATATGTGTGTATATACATATATATGTACATATATATGTATATACACATACATATACATATGTATGTATATGTGTGTATGTACATATATATGTACATATATACGTACATATACATATATATGTATATGTGTGTATATACATGTATATGTATATACACACAT